CCCGCTAGCTCTGGTGTATGTGGCTGGCGCCCCAGCTGCTTGAGCTATAGGTGCCAAGCCAGCATTTTTAAGAAATGAAATACAGTGGTTCTCAAACTTTAGTGTGCATCGCAATCGCCTAGAGCAATGGTTCTCAACCTTCCTAATTGCTGTGTTGTTACAAATGGAAGAAAGGGGTCATGACCCACGGGTTGAGAACTGCTGTCCTAGAGGGTTTGTCAAAATGTTTTTGGGCCTTACCCTCAGAGTTTCTGATTTAGTAGGTCCAGGGCCTAAAAATATACATTTCTCTCTCTCTCTTTTTTTTTTTTTTGAGATAGGATATATCACTCTTATTACCCAGGCTAGAGTTCAGTGGTGCCATAGCTCACTATAGCCTCAAAACTTCTTGGCTCCCGTGATCCTCCTGCCTCAGCCTCCCAAGTAACTGGGACTACAGGTGTGCACCACCACACTTGGCTAATTTATTTCACTTTATTTTTAGTAGAGATGAGGTCCTGCTGTATTGCTTAGGCTGGTCTTGAACTCTTGGCCTCAACCCATCCTACCTTAGCCTTCAAAAGGGCTGCCAGGACTGAAAAAAATTCATTTTTAACATGTTTTCAGGTGATGTTTGTGCTGTTTGTCCATGGACCATACCTTGAGAACCACTAATGGAACAAAATAGAAAATAGGAGTGTGTATGACATATAATAAGAAGACATATCAATATATACTAGGCTATGGAATAAAATTTTTTCTTACTGTTAGTGTGGTCAGAGGTGATGTGTACCTAGGAGGTTGAGACCAGAAAAGAGTAGAGATTCTCCTGAGACCATGCATCAGACCTGGACTCCCTGGGCCCTGAGGCCTAGGAGGGGGCCCTTGCCCCTGGCCTAGGCTTCACTTGGCCCCATTCCCCAGGACCAGGTCTCCAAGGACAAAGCCCTCCAGAGCATGGCATCCATGTCCTCCGCCCAGATCGTCTCTGCCAGTGTCCTGCAGAACAAGTTCAGCCCACCCTCCCCTCTACCCCAGGCCGTCTTCTCCACTTCCTCACGGGTACGGGGATCCTGAGAGGTGGGCTAGGGTGGGGTACATGTAAAGGATGGACTTTAGTGGGGTTGAGGGGTACTGAGGGGTTTCTTGGTTTTGTTCCATCTTCATAGTTCTGGAGCAGCCCTGCTCTCCTGGGACAGCAGCCTGGACCTTCTCAGGAGTGAGTATTATGGCTGGCTCATCCTTCCCATGCCCTCTTTCTCCTGGCAGCCATGTGGGGCTTCCCCTCCCTTCTGGGTTTCAGCAACAGCTGAGCAAAATTTTATTCAAAAATAGAGGGCAGGCGGCGCCTGTGGCTCAGTGGGTAGGGTGCCGGCCCCATATACTGAGGGTGGTGGGTTCAAACCTGGCCCTGGCCAAACTGCAACAAAAAATAGCCGGGTGTTGTGGCAGGTGCCTACAGTCCCAGCTACTCGCGGGGCTAAGGCAAGAGATTCACCTAAGCCCAGGAGTTGGCGGTTGCTGTGAGCTGTGACACTACTGTACTCTACTGAGGGCGATAAAATGAGACTCTGTCTCTACAAAAAAAAAAAATAGAGGGCTGGAGAGTAGCAGTGGAAGAACTAATGCCCTTTCTGCACATCCATGTACGTGCATTCATCAGCCCACTCACCCCACTGTCCCTTCATTTGTCTTACGTTCAAATCTCTGAGTCAACCTCTCAGTTAACAAGTCAGGAAGTCAAGTATGCTTGGTTTCTTCAATTCTATGACAACTTTTTTTTCTTGGAGACAGAGTCTCTCTTTGTCCCCTTGGTAGAGTGCCATGGCATCATAGCTCACAGCAACCTCAAACTCTTGGGCTCAAGTGACTCTCTTGCCTTAGCCTCCCAAGTAGCTGGGACTTCAGGCACCCAGCACAATGCCTGGCTATTTTTTTTTTTTTGCAGTGAGGTCTCACTGTGTCTCAGGCTGGTCTCAAACCTGTGAGCTCATAGCTCACAGCAACCTCAAACTCTTAGGCTCAAACGATTCTCTTGCCTCAGCCTCCTGAGTAGCTGGTATTACAGGCACCCGCCACAATGCCCAGCTATTTTTAGACATGGGGTCTTGGTCCAGCTCAGAGCTAGTCTCAACTCGTGAGCTCAGGCAATCCACCAGCCTCAGCCTCATGGAGTGCTGGGATTACAGGCATGAGCCACCACACCTGGCCTTATGACAACTTTCATTGTAAAACACCTTCAGCTTAAATAGCTTTTTTTTTTTTTTTTTTTCAGTTTTTGGCCAGGGCTGGGTTTGAACCTGCCACCTCCGGCACATGGGGCCAGCACCCCACTCCTCTGAGCCACAGGTGCTGCCCCTTAAATAGCTTTTAAAGATGAGGGTGGGTGCGTGGGGTTGAAATGCTACATTAAACGTGCACATTAGTTGTGAGATGCGGCAGGTTTTCATAAAAGTTAAAATGGGAAGAAAACAAGCTTATGAGTTAGCTTGTCAGGATGTATTTCTCAGCCTCAAGAGAAAGGCTAGGTGGTCTTCTGTTGGAGCCCCAGATGAGGCTGGGCCAGGTGGAAGGTGGGAAAGAGGGTAACCCTCTAACCAGGCTTGCTCCTGTCCACAGCATCAAGCCCTTTGCACAGCCAGCCTACCCCATCCAACCACCCCTGCCACCAACACTCAGCAGTAAGTTCCCCACATGAAGCTGCTGCCACCACCTCTCTCCCTTGGCACCTTCACTTCTGCCTCTGCTCAGGAGAGCTGGGGCCCAACTGTGTGTGTGTGTTTGTGTATGTATTTTGGGAGGGAGGGGGAGATGGCATCTGTAAGGGATTGGGACAGGCCAGAAATAGCTCTTTTACCTTGTACATTGTTGCTTCCAGAACTCTGGCACAAAGCCATAGCCAATACACAGCTATAGTAAACACCATAAAAGTATTACAGTTACATACATCTCCATGGATAGAAAACTCCTGGTAAGGAGATACACCAAAATCTTAATAGGGTTTTACTCTCTCTAGATAGGTGGATTCTGGGTAATTATTATTTATCCTTTTTGCTTCTATGTTTCCTGTTTAAACATACATTAATACTGACACACAAAAAATGTTCTTGGTATATACTACTAGGGCCACCACATATTAATTGTGCAGGTTGTACATTGTACAAGGACACCAGTAGGGGAGTTAAAATCCAATCCATGTTCCTACCCCAAAGGGGCACTGTTCTCTAATTTGCACAGAGGCTCTTCAGGCCATGCAGGTTTATTTGCAACCATGGGCCATTCTTATGCAGATGAGGCTCTATCTTGCCTTTCCAGGTTATGAGCCCCTGGCCCCGCTACCCCCAGCTGCTGCCTCTGTGCCCGTGTGGCAGGACCGTACCATTGCCTCCTCCCGGCTGCGGCTCCTGGAGTATTCAGCCTTTATGGAGGTTCAGCGAGACCCTGACACGGTAATGTGTTTGAGGCTGGGGTGAGGTTTTGCACAGTCATGGACAGGCTGGCCCGGTGTTCCAGGATCACAGCTCATGGTCTTGGGGTTGGGGATCTGGCCTGTCTGAGAAGCTACGGGCAGCTCTGTCACTGTGCAGCAGCCCCGTCCCCACCTTAAACCAGCATGCTCAATGCTCTCCTGACCCTGTCTGGGCCCTCCCCACAGTACAGCAAACACCTATTTGTGCATATCGGACAAACAAACCCCGCCTTCTCAGACCCACCCCTGGAGGCCGTTGACGTGCGCCAGATCTACGACAAGTTCCCTGAGAAAAAGGGTGGATTGAAAGAACTCTATGAGAAGGGGCCCCCTAATGCCTTCTTCCTTGTCAAGTTCTGGGTGAGCTGCCCTGGGCCCTCTCTGCTCCCAACCCCTTTCCCTAGCCCAGATGTGCAGCACACCCTGGCCTACCACACTGCCCCCAGTGCTGCTGTCTCCCTGTGGCCCATGGGCAGAGTACCAGAGATGGGCTCTTGGGTAGAATGCCCATGTGCAGTGGGAAGGTGTAGCAGGAAGCCTCCCTCCGGCCTCTGCCAGCACCTGACGCCTCCCCACCCCCAAATGTCTACCCTAGGCTGACCTCAACAGCACTATCCAGGAGGGCCCAGGAGCCTTCTATGGGGTCAGCTCCCAGTACAGTTCTGCTGATAGCATGACCATCAGTGTCTCCACCAAGGTGTGCTCCTTTGGCAAGCAGGTGGTGGAGAAGGTGGAGGTGAGTGGTGGCCGAGGTGCTGTGGTGGGGCTGGGAGCAGGCAGACTGGGTGATACACTCTTGGGGCCCTCTGCAGACTGAGTATGCCAGGCTGGAGAATGGGCGCTTTGTGTACCGGATCCACCGTTCACCCATGTGCGAGTACATGATCAACTTCATCCACAAGCTGAAACACCTGCCTGAGAAGTATATGATGAACAGTGTCCTGGAGAACTTCACCATCCTGCAGGTGTGGGGGGCAGTAGGGGTCCCTGGGGTTCCTGGGAGGGCCATGGGTCAAAGTTAGGTAGCCAGACCCATCACTCAGATGAGAACTGAAACCAGGAAAGAAAGGGTCTGCTCAGCCCCTGCCCTGTGGCCCTGTTCTGCCTGACCTCCTGAATCTTCCTACCCATCTTCCAGGTGGTCACAAGTCGGGACTCCCAGGAGACCTTGCTTGTCATTGCTTTTGTCTTTGAAGTCTCCACCAGTGAGCATGGGGCCCAGCATCATGTCTACAAGCTTGTCAAAGACTAGGGTACCCTCTGAACCCCCCACCAGAACACAAGAGGAGCATCTTCTCCATATACCTGCCTGGTACCTCCGGGGGTCCAGGATTGAGGACTCATCCACCTGCCAGGCCTAAGGCCCAGGACCCAGCAGGCCTCCCCACTACCCCAGCACATACACTCCCTGCCACTATTCTGCGCTTTAATTGTGGGAGAAGAGAGAGGAAGGCTGGCAGTGGCACTAACTCTCCATCACTCAGCTCTGCCCAGTTTTGAGTGACCTCCAAGAAGTGGGGATGGAGGACACCTTTGGGCTTCAGCATGTGTGTCCACTTGTCCCCCCTCCAGGGGAGTGTGATGGGCAGGTGAGGTAGAATGGAGATGGGAGAGTCAGCATGCAGAGGCTGAGGAAGGAGACTTTCAAGTCACAGCTAGCTTGAGAAAACAAATGGGCCGCCACTTTATTGCACCTTCTATGTGCCAGGCCTGGTGCCAAGGCTCCTTAAATGGCTTGTGCCATCCTTAGACCCTGCAAAGCAAGCATGGGTCTCTGTTTTAGGTGAAATGTTGAGACTCCAAGAAGTTGAGGGACCCACAGGAGCGGTGGACAGAGCTGGAGTTCTCATCCAGGGCTGCTTGTCCCCAGAGTCCAGGTTTACACTACCTCCCTGGAGCAGGAGCTGGCCATAGGGTTGGGGAGGGCCTCTGTACTGGGAATGAGGAGTGGCACCTCCTTGGGGGCCTAGACAAGAGCACCTTCTCCTAGAGTCCCCCAGGGCAGGAAAGCTCCTATTTCTGACTAGGCAGGAAGAGGGGAGGGGAACAGCTACTAAGCACCTGTTAGCACCCTATCAGCCTATAAGCCACCCAGGGCCCCAGAAGCCTCTAGGCACCCCTCCAAGCTGCCCTGTCCCCGGGCATGAGGTGCCTATGGGCCCCAGCATTCCCCAGAGGCAGGCCCAGGCTGAGAAATAGGACTGAAGGCCAGGTAGAGAGGAAGATGCAGTCCCAACCTCCAGGCAGACCAGAGACCAGGGGAGCAGGGCTGGCAGAAGGCTTTGATATTTCCACTTGGGTTTGACAAATGCTTGGTGCACACTGCTCCATTCTGTTCTTCTCCAACTCAGTCTGTCTTGGAACAGCAGCTCCCAGTTCTGAGACTGAAGGTTAACCCTTCCCCTGTTGCCCCTTCTCTGTACCCAGGTTCCTGAGGGCCAGCGTGGCCAGTCTAGGGGCCAGCCCTGGGTATTTATGCATTCACATGAAGTACTGTGCCCTTTCCTTCCTCATCCACCAACCATGCGTGAACTTCTGATGGTCTTCACAGTTTGCATATCGCTCAGGCCACCTCCAGACCCCACCTAGGTTTTATAATGTATATTATATATATTTTTGTGTATTTTTTAAATCCAGCTATGATGGGTTGTATCATAAATGTGGCTTGGGGCCAGGGTAAGGGCCAAGGCCCTGCTCCTGCTCAAAAAAAAAAAAAAAAAATGTAGAGTTATTTGTGGGTCAGTTATTTGACTAGGTGTGTGCCAGACCTGGATTGGAACAGCTTCAAGTGAGTGCTCCTCATAGGCTCTGGTGTGTCACCCTATCCTTGCACCTCTCCATCTCTGCTGAGGGGCCCAACCCCTACCCATACTTAAATCAGTGATACAAGGACCCCACAAGAACTTTACTAGCTTCCATTTCTCACACTCCCTCCTGCCTTGAATTGAGCACTTTTCTGTGCCCAGTGCTGGTGATTTGCCCCAAGTCACACAATAGGGAGAGCCTCAAGGGGGTTATGTGCTCTCCCAAGGTGTTGGCCCTTGAGCAGAGGAAGCAGGATTCCAACCTGCCCTAGGAGAGTCATGCTCTGCCTTGAGGGACCAGTCGGGGGTTTAGGAGCTGGGATAGCTCCTGATGTCCTTCAGTGGACAGCCAGAGAGGCTGTTCCAACCTTTCTACCTGCAGTTAAGTGAGTGAACTTTCTGGCTTACCTAGTTGGGGATTAGAGACAATATTGCCCTGAGGGTGGCATGCTAGAGATTAGATGGTAGGGCTTAAATGAAATGGGGGTTACCAGTTAAATGGGAATTTAAGATCAACAAAAAATATTTTTTTTAGTGGTATGTCCCATGCAAGGCAAGGTGTGGTGGCCTACACCTGTAATCCTAGCACTCTGAGAGGCCAAGGCAATTGGATTGCTGGAGCTGATGGGTTCTAGACCAGCCTGAGCACAAGCAAGACCCCAACTCTACTAAAAATAAGAAAACCTGAGGCAAGAGGATTGCTTGAGCCAAAGAGCTGGAGGTTGCTGTGAGCTATGATAGCAAGGCACTCTACCCAGGGTGACAGCTTGTGACTGTCTAAACAAAACTGTCTTTTCTAAAAATAGAAAAACTAGCTGGGTTGTGGTGGGCACTTGTAGTCCTAGGTACTCTGAGGCTGAAACAGGATTGCTTGAACCTAAGAGTTTTTTGTTTTGTTTTTTTTTTAAGAGACAGGTTTGTTTTTTTTTTTGTCGCCCTCAGTTAAAGTGCTGTGGCCACAGCAACCTCCAGCTCTTGGGCTCAGGCAATTCTCCTGCCTCAGCCTCCCGAGTAGCTAGGACTACAGGCACCCAACAATGCCTGGCTATTGTTGCAGTATGGCCAGGGCAGAGTTCAAACCTACCACCCTTGGTATATGGGGCTGGCACCATACTCACTGAACCACAGGCACTGCCCAGAACCTAAGAGTTTTGAGGTTGCTATGAGCTGGACTGATACCATAGCATTCTAGTCTGGGTGACTCTGAATCACTTTCAAAAAAAGGATATGCCTTGGCTTGGCCCCTGTGGCTCAAGTGGCTAGGGCGCCAGCCACATGCCTAAGGTGGCGGGTTTGAATCCACCTTGGGCCTGCCAAATAACAATGATGGCTGCAACCAAAAAACAGCTGGGCATTGTGGCAGGCACCTGTGGTCCCAGC